CTCACGCGTCCCCTCAGCCCACGATGCCCGCGACTCTCACGCGTCCCCTCAGCCCACGATGCCCGCGACTCTCACACGTCACCACTCAGCCCACGATGCCCGCGACTCTCACGCGTCCCCTCAGCCCACGATGCCCGCGACTCTCACACATCCCCACTCAGCCCACGATGCCCGCGACTCTCACGCGTCACCACTCAGCCCACGATGCCCGCAACTCTCATGCGTCACCAGCATCTGCCAGGGGTTTTAAAAGATACCTGTTTCTCCTACGAGTCGTTTTGTGTTAGGGGTTTTACTACAGACGCATACACACATAGACATACCCATACACAGACACATAGACATACACATACATGCACACACTCCTACACACACACCTCTACATGGACACACCCTACACACACAGACACACATACAGTACATACATAGACATACACACAGTTATACACTCATACACACACACAACCCTACCCACACTCACATATACACACCACTACACACACCTACACACCCATGTAAATAAACATGAGAAAGTGGCCCAGGTTCTCGTACCTGCTGCGTATGGTACTTTAAGCCCAGCAGTGTGTGTCAGCGTGTGCTCACGGGCAAAGACTGCGGAACTGCTCAGTGCTGAGCCGGATAGGTGCGTGCTGCCGTGTCACATGGTGTCGTGGGTTGTGGGTTGTGGCATCATGGCCTAGCTTGACTGCAGAACGAGCAGCGGGAGTCGTGGAGCCCCTGTGGTGGCTGTCGCGGCGTCTCGGGGTCAGGGATGACGTTGGTCCCCGGCTGCCACTCCAGCAGAGGCGGCCCTGAGCTGCTCCACGCATGGGGCACAGCGAGCCAGCTCTCTGCCGCTTGGCACAGCACCCTGGGCCGGGGGCGTTTCCTGGGCAGGTGCTCAGACCTCCTCTGGTGTAAATGGTTAACGTTTTGGCATTGTCCTGCCAGAGCTTCGGAGAGCTGTTAGGATTGTTCTGCACCATCCCCCATGTCTGTTGTCGGCAAGGTGCCTGACCAGGCATCCTACAGGTGCCTAGAACAAGCTGGAGCATTCTGGCCAATTCCAAGCTAGGCTACATTTTTTTTTTCACCTTTGACAATATGATTTCTTTCAGTTCACAAATTGTATAACATGCAAAGAATGGCCTCCAAGGTATGGGAAGTCACCAAGCCCGTGTCCTATGTCAAAAGGAGGATTGGCCATCAAGGTGGCCACACTCCATGGTCACACTACACCTGTGATTTCATGGACTAGAGTTTTGAGCAGGGAATTCTGGGAAAGCCATTCGTGTGTGGTATTGAACTAAGTCTTCACTTATTCCTCGTGCATTTACTTACGGAGGAAATACTGTGTGCCGGGTGCGTAGCTGGGGAAGCGAAACAGCAGGGCACTTAGTGGTCACATTAATAATGTGTCTGGTAAATGCAGAATGTCTGGGGGCTCCTGGAAGAGTTCTCCCAGTAGCAGTCTTCAGCAGTCTTTGAACACATGGCAGGCCACTGCATGACAAGGAACTGTGGGTAGACGGCGTCCGTCTGCAGAGTAACATTTGGACGGGACACACTCTTTGGAGGGCCCAAGTGTGAGTGTGTAGATTCCCAGCCTGGGGACTTGGGAATGACAGTGGAAATGCAGCCGGAGGTAAACTGTGTCAGGGACAGTCGCAAAGGACACTGTACCCTGCAAACATTTCAGTCTGTCACCCCACTTGAAATGCCTCACCTGTGCCCAGGACCAATTGGAAATCTTTATCCTATGACTCATATTGGCGAAAATGAACATACATGTGGATTGGAACGACCACTCTAATGCTGTGTGAGGGGCCATCCTGGTCAAGTTCTCCCAAGGTCTGGCTGCCCCACGGTCGGAAGAGAACATGCAGTGTGATGTCTGCTGGGCTCTAAGTTTGAAAACTTAGAGCCATGTCTGATTTTTTTTCTTTCAACAAAATGTCTGAGAATCCTTTAAGAAATGTAAAAAAGTAAATTTTAAAAAAGGAGAGGAAGAGTGGTTATTTTGCCATCTTCTTTGAATGAAGTTTGTGTCCAGAAGTTTCATTTTGTCAGTGATTTTTAAAACTGGTGAAAGAGTATCTGCGCGTTTCCACTGCGATCATTTAAATTTACTTCTGGAGTCGTGAGTTCTGAGTGTTTTCGGTCTGGATTCTGTTTCCCAGAATGACGGGGTGGGACCATGTGTACAGCAAGGGCAGTCACTGCCACATGCGTTCTGAAACTACTAACAGAGCTGGCAGCCTTCTCAAAGCACGATTGGGGTGATCTGCTTTGAGCAGGAAACTGAAAGGTATCAGAACCAGAGAGGACAGGCAGAAATCTCTCTCTGCCAGAGCCATGTATCTTAATGATGCATAGGCCTTCTAGAGAAGGACAGCATTCACAATGAACCTTCCTTCAAAAGATGGTGATGGTGGAGGTGGAGGTGGTGGTGGTGGTCATGGTGTTGGTCATTGTGGTGGTGATGGTCATGGTTATGGTGATGGTCATGGTAGTGGTGGTGATGGTAGTGATGATGGTGGTGATGATGGTGGTGATGGTAATGGTGGTCGTCATACAGAGGTTAGGTAGACAATATTCCTACGTGAATGCCCATATGCATTACAGAGCTAACAGGGGACAGCGTTAGGATAACTTCCTAGCCACAACTAAGCACCTTGAGAGAGTGAGTTGATGGGTCTGTGGGCTTGGGACCACAGTTGTAGGGGACACCAAACTCAACTGGCACAACATAAGACACAAAAACATTGTTCTACATCCCCTTTAGTATCGACGGAGGTCTGAAAAATTTGCAAGTGGCCATCTAACATGCAGCTATTGGTCTCTCCTCGTCCAGAGCAAAGAAGGGTAAGGGAAATCAGAGACTCATGGACTAATGGACCATGAGAACCTACCACTGCCCACCACTTGGAAAGGGATCGAAATTGGAGATTCTGGATAGAGGGGGTAAAAGTATAGAACAAAATTAAAAAAAAAAAAATCACTTAAAAGACCAGCATTACTGGTCAGATAGAGACTTGTGAAACTTACCCTTCAGGCCCGGAATTGGACCCACTCTCATCACTAACATTCAGCCAAACAATAGACAGGCCTCCACGTTGAACACCTACCCCAGGGAGATGCACTCCTTAGAACAGTCGACCGTGGGAGGTCAGAAGGGCAGCATTAGCACAGGGAAAAAGGCCGGGAGACAGGAACGCGGAGGCGGGAAGGACACAGGGAGAGGGCGACCACAGGGAGGAAGTGGGAGGAGAGCTGCTATTGTGGGGATCCTGTCACAAAACAAAATGTGTATGAACTGTTGAATGTAAAATGAATCTTCTTTGTAAAACTTCACCCAAATCACAGTAAAAGTTAAAACAAAAAAAACAAAAGGTGGTGGTTGTGATGGTGGTGGCGGTGCTGGTGATGGTGTTTGTGGCGGCGGCGGCGGCGGCAGTGGAGGCGGTGGTGGTGGTGGTCATGGTGGTGGCGGTGGTGGTGGTCATGGTGGTGGTCATGGTGGTGGTCATGGTGGTGGCGGTGGTGGTGGTCATGGTGGTGGTC